GGATGCAGAGCTCCCAGAGTGGGGGATAAGCCCGTAACAAGGCCTCTAGAATGTCATGACAGACACACACACGCGAACGGGATTCGACAGATGGATACCAGTTTGCATCAAATAAGAGCCTCTGCACGATTTTGACAATTCTAATGTCTGTATGTACACGAAGATAATTTACATACGGAGCATCAGAAAATAATGCTTATTTATCTGTGATGGCATATTTATGTGGAAACAGGGACTGTATACAGAATTTTCACAGGCAAATCTGTTGCAAGGAGATGAAGGGATTAAGCTTAAATTAAAATAAATCTTTCCGAGGAAAGTCGTGAGGATCCGTGGTAGGTGGAAATAGCTTAGGGCGTTATCTAACAACGAGCATGATTGAAATATTTACATTTTTTTATAATCACAATTTTTATTAAATTCGATAACATTACAAAATTAAAATATTTCAATGCAGAGTTGTAAATACTCAAATAACCACAAGAGTTGAAAAGGTAGGCTGTCATCAATTTATAGACTCTCATTAGCAAAGCACAGGAACGAGCTACTCTCTCTTTACCCCATCATTCCAATGGTGCAACAGTCTGGCAGAGCAGGGAAATTTCAAACGTATAAAGTATATGAATCAGTTAGAAAGAAAGATGTTCAATTTAAGGAAACCACCGCAGTAAGAAAAAGCGTAAAAGCACCGGAATCTTACATATCAGAAAACTGAATCGGTCGTACGCGAAATTAAAACTTATGGTACAGTGTCATAACACTGCCTACATCTTACTCTTAATCTTGTAAGCGATAAGGTGCCGTGTGTTTGACCTGGAAAAACCTAGATAAACTCGGACTTCGTTCTGGTATTTTTAATGAAAGTACAGGCGTTCGTCATCAAAAGTTCACAGCCTGTCTTTAGTAGAGAATATTATTTTGTGACTCATTCAGAATTACACGAGACCTAGAATTTTTTCCAATATAGCAATTCCTAACATCATTAAAGCATCACTAAAACGACGGTAAACTTCTACCTGACTGTACGGCGCAACATCCGAGATAACAAATCATCTTTCTGCACTGTCCCATCTCCGTGAAAGAATTTCAAAATTCCTGTTTTCGTTTATAACAGTTTTCGAGCACAAATGTTTTGTTTGAATCCATAAGGGCACCACACACTTTACATATCTATTTTACTTTCGAGATTCGAACTGGTTGTCTCCCGAATACGAGCCTACAGCGTTACAGCTACGTCACCAGAAAAAAGGACATAATGAAATGTTCGTTGTTAATAGCGGACTATCTTTCGTTTCCACGGACTATAAAATGGCTTCAGACAGGTGATGATGCTTTCAACAGAAAGAGACTGACAAACCCTTCATTTTATCGACACGCGTAACGACAATCACTTTCAGATAACACGCATTTGTGCTAGGCGGTGAATTCACTGCAAGGAACAGGAAGTTTAAGCACACGTAATTTGGCACACAGTTATCGGTGATTACCCAAGGATAGGCAAACATCTGTACGAAGTATAAGTAAGGCTTGCATTCAGAAGCATCGACGGGGTGGACAAGTTATTCAACGACGTTGTATCATCTACAGCTTTTATATGGGGTCGAATGATGTGAGATGATGATCACGAAGTGGTAGCTGTTTAACCCAGCATTTGTACGTGGGAGACTAAGTATAAACACGAAGAATTTAAATTAAGATAGGCCTTGTTGGTATACAGATCGAGATTTGGACAAAAAATCTTTCCTTAATAAAAGAGATATATTTTACCGCATAAGCCAAACTGCTAAGTGATTAAAGAGCCATATCAACTGAGTTATGCTTCAGGCGGGAAAGGCTTCGATACACATCCTGGAGAACACAAGTTATACATTCGTTTTTTCTATAATTTTAACATTGTCTTACTTGTTAGTTCTTCTTACAGCTATTTAATGTTTATGCATACGCGTCTTTATTTTCCCTTTCACTCAGAACTAGTATTTACGTTCTACTAGAGATTCGCTCTATAAGTGCCGACATTACGGTTTCACCCAGCCTCCGAAAGCAAGTGCTGACCTAGCAATGAAAGAAGATAATATAAAAAAAACAGAGTCAATTATAGATTTATGTCACTGATTTCCGATACCAAATAGCCATTGCCTTGAGTCCTCTCTCTGTCATATCACCATGGATTCCCTTCATCCATCTAACTCTTGGTTTTCCTTTCTTATGTTTTCCTTACGGCATGCATTTGAGAATATGTTGGCGTCATTCGATGTCCACCATTATTTGTCCGTGTTATATTAATAATTTTGTAAACAGATTTTATACATAGACATAAAATATCGAGATTTTAAAACTGATTTTTTCCAACAGATGATTATGTATCCGTTCATTTCTCTGTGCTTTCTCCTTACATTGGAAGTATAAGAGGCGTGGAGTTAAATTCACGTGAAAATTAGACATGGAGATAAGCTTTCTGCTTCACGATCGAATCTTTATTTATCCGTGCAGTAAGACAAGCCGGTGCTCTTTGGGTACGAGGCTAGCTGGATCGCAGAGTCGGTCATGACGCCACGCGAAGAAAAAATCCTATTACTGACAGGAATCGAACCTCTGTCATCCATCTTTTAGCCAGTGTCTTTACTGAGTGATCTATGTCTGTTCACACATGCGTATGTGTGGCTAAATAATGTTATTAATAGCCGCTTCACAAACGCAACATTCGTTGTCAGAATCTTCTTCAGAAGAACGTCACTTTCTTTGTTACTAATGAACTTCAAAATTACTTTAATCAGTAGAAAGTGTTGTCATCTAAGCATCAGTATGGACGTCAGCAAAAATGTATATTATAACCTCTAGGCCAAGCGAAAATGTATCTATCGTACATAACTTACATTGTCCTAAATTCATTGCATATCAACCTTTGTTACATTTTATTTACTAGTCCTGTAGTCCAGAAAACACATTAAAAAGTAAAACAGCAGAAAATCATGGTCCGCTGCTTGTTTAAAGTGAAGATTATTTACTA